GGGTGCAGGCCAGGCTGAAGGACCCTCACCACCCCCGTGCACGAATTTCATGCACCAGACTTCTAGCCCTATATAATATGCATATTGTCCCCTCAGACAGTTGTTTGCCTGAGAGTTCGACCTAGGGACTGGGAATTCAACCACTTGCTTTGACATGCACTGATCACCAGGGTGCGGCATGAAACATGGCAGATGTCTGCAACTTCTTGCCAGCTACCTGGGGTTAGGGGTGACGGGGACGGACGGAGGTGCAGTGAGAATGTAGCTTACTCTCACTCCCCCTGCTGCCCTCCCCTGCGATGCCAGGGCTCGTGCGCCAAGGAAGCCCCCATGCTCAGGTGCCAAGGGAAGGTATAGAAGGAAAGATCTCCAGAAAGAGCTAAAGCAAAGGCCGTAAGGTGAGATTGTCTAGTACTGTGGGTTTGGCAAATTGAGGCTCATGAGCAACATATGGCTCTTTGGCCCCTTTAATGTGGCTCTTCCACAAAATACCATGGCTTGGGTGAGTCTATTTTGAAGAAGTGACATTAGAAGAAGTTTAAGTTTTAAAAATTTGGCTCTCAAAAGAAATGTCAATCATTGTACTGTTGATATTTGGCTCTGTTGACTAATGAGTTTGCCGACCACTGGTCTAATATGATTAAAGTATAGAATGTAGGGGAAAGAGTAGGAGACAAAATTTAAAAAATGAGGAGAATGAGAAACAAATTATATAGGGCCTTTCAGGCAATTGTAAGGTCTTCATCATCACAAAATGGTAAAGTCAATACAGGGTTTTAATAGAAGCATGAAAACATCTGACTTTTATATTTTTACTAGAGGCCCAGTGCACAAAATTTGTGCACGGAGGGATCGAGATCGGGCCTAAACCAGCAGTTGGACATCCCTCTCAGAATCTGGGACCGCTGGCCCCTAACTGGTCACTTGCCTGCCTTCCTGATTGCCCCTAACTGCCTTTGCCTACTATCCTGATCACCTCTAGCTGTCCTCCCCTGCTGGCCTGATCGCCCCCAACTGCCCTCCCCTGCTGGCCTGATCTCGTCCACTCCTCTGCTGGCCAATTTAGTTCTGATTGATTAGTTTCAATGTCAGTCAACATCAAAAGCTTCACCTGCTAGGCAGCCATTGGCTTCCCACAGCACCCAGATTTGGTTCTTATTGGTCGGTTTCTATGCCAGTCAGCATCAAAAGCTTCACCTGCTAGGCAGCCATTGACTCCCCATTGCCACCCAGATTTGGTTCTGATTGGTCAGTTTCTATGCCAGTCAGTGTCAAAAGCTCCACCTCCTAGGCAGCCATTGGTTCCCCAGATCCAGATTTGGTTTTAATTGGTCAGTTTCTATGCCAGTCAGAGTAAAAGCTCTGCCTTCTAGGCAGCCATTGGCTCTTCACAGCACCCACATTTGGTTCTGATTGGTCTGTTCCTATGCCAGTCAGTGTCTCTGGGACTACCTCTGAGCCTAATCAAAGAGGCAGTGCTTAACAGCAGCCCCTGCAGAGGCCAGTGAGAAAGAAAAACCCAGCTGTTGGCGAAGCTCAGAAAGAAAGAGGGAGAGAAAGAGAGAAGCAAGTACTGATCAACAGCTGCCACTGAGGTTGTGGATTAGACCCTGCCTCTCTCTCTCTGAGTCTCAGTCCCCTTGGTAGTCAATGCTGGGTTGACTTCCGGGTTGGTCAGCCTTTGGTCGTGATTGGTCATTACTATGCTGGCCTTTTATATATTAGATTGTTTTAGTATAAAATTTTCTAAACATACATACAAATCAAAGGTATAATACCAAGAATATCCAAATACCTACTATCTAGATTCAAAAGTTAACATTATGCCACAATTACTTTCTTCTTCTCTCTGAACCATCCAAAGTAAATCAGACATCAAGACAATATACTCCTAAATACTTTAGCATCCCTCCCCTAAAATTAAGGGTTTCTATAACATAATCACAATGCCATTTTCAAATATAAGAAAATTAACAATTACTTAATGTCAACTACAATAATATCCAGTCCATATTCAAATATCCCAACTGTCCAACTCCTCAAATTTTTTTTTATCTAGAATTCAATCAAAGAAAACACACAGAATTTGTCAAGTCTTTTAAAAAATCTTAATTTAAAGACTTTTCCCAAAGTGCTTTTTTTCCCTCTTCATAGCATTGACTTTTTTAAGAGACCAGGCCAGCTATCAAAATGTTCTGTATTCTGAATTTCCTTTATAAACTCCTTAAGGCAGTGGTTCTCAACCTTTCTAATGCCACAACCCTTTAATACAGTTCCTCATGTTGTGGTGACCCCCAACCATAAAATTATTTTCATGGCTACTTCATAACTGTAATTTTGCTACTGTTAATGAATCGTAATGTAAATATCTGTGTTTTCCAATGGTCTTAGGCTCTATAGCAGCAGTCACGACCCACAGGTTGAGAATCTCTAGCAGGGTCGCCTAAGACCATCAGAAAATGCAGATGTTTACATTATGATTTATAACAATAGCAAAATTACAGTTATGAATTAGCAACGAAAATAATTTTATGGTTGGGAGTTACCACAACATGAGGAACTGTATTAAAGGGTCATGGCATTAGAAAGGTTAAGAACCACTGCCTTAAGGTGTCATTTAACTTATTTTTCCAGTCCTGCTATCTCCTGGAGCCAGTTAACTGTATAGCCTTCAACTGACACAAATTAATCATCTGGGGAAAGAATATTTTATAAATGGTGCCCTGTATTTCATATTGTTTCACATCAGGCACACCAAATGCTCTACTTCAAATTTTGCTGTATTTAGTAATTACTAAAGGGATAACAGAACAGGCTATTAGGAACAAGAAAATGGAAAATACTATGAAGCTATTTGAATAGTTCAAGGATGAGATGATGGTGGCTCAGTTCAACATGTTAGCGGTAGAAGAGATAAGAAGTGGTCAGATTTTTATCACTGAAAGCTTCAAGTCAATCCATTAGAAGTGAAGTTTGAGAAAGAAGTGGAATATGAGTACAAGGTGTTTGGCTTCAGATACTGAAAGGATGGATTAGCCATCACCTAATATGGAGAATAGAATGGGTAGTAGAGGTTTTGGAGGTGGGGCAAAGATCCATAGGCCAATCTCATGTGTGTCAAGTGTGAGGTGTCTGCTGGCCATGCAAGTGGAGATGTAAGTAAGCATTGAAAATATGAATCTGGAGTTTGGGAAAGAGGACTGGGATGGGGATTTAATTTGGGAATCCTTAGCATAAAGTTGATATTAAAGCTATTAGATTGGATAAGATTACCAAGGAATGAGTGCAGATAGAGAAGAGAACAAAGAGCTGGCCCCTGAAATTCTTATATATTAAAAGTCAGGAAGAAGCCCTAGCCATTTTGGCTCAATGGATAAAGCATAGGCCTGTGTACTGAAGAGTCCCAGGTTAGCATCATGCTAAGCAAAATAACCCAGTTGGAGAAAGATGAATATAAAATGATCTCACTAATTTGTGGAATATAATGAACAACAGAAACTGATGAACAAAAATAGAGCCAGAGGGAGGAAAATATACTAGAAGTAATCCTGTTATTTGCAGATTTTTAATATTTCCTACAACTTTTGTGATATCATACTATGTTACTATAGTTTTGTTTTGTTTTGTTTTTTTTTTAAATATATTTTATTGATTTTTTTACAGAGAGGAAGAGAGAGGGATAGAGAGTTAGAAACATCGATGATGAAAGAGAATCATCGATCAGCTGCCTCTTGCACACCCCCTACTGGGGATGTGCCCGCAACCAAGGTACATGCCCTTGACAGGAATCGAACCCAGGACCTTTCAGTCCGCAGGCTGACGCTCTATCCACTGAGCTAAACCGGTTTCGGCTATGTTATTATAATTTTGGTAATATTATTATACTTAAAATTTTTTATTTTTGAAATATTAATGTTTATTATGTGTAATATGTGTAAGATCATTTTTCTTAATTGGTGTTTATTGCATGTAACATTATTATATTTAAGATTGTTTTCTTGAAAAAAAAAGAAAAAATAATAAATAGAAAGGCATCATTTGAAGATAGAAAAAATAAAGGCTAAGATGAAAAAGAAAAAAGAACCTATGGAGGGACTGACTGCTTTGGGCCACCCCAAGTATACATGTATACATTTTCACTGAACCCTTTCTGTACTAAAAGAGATTGGACACTAAAAATAAACAAACAAACAAACAAATAAATACATAAATAAGTGTTAAAGTTAAAAAAATAAAAATAAAAAATAAATAAAGTGAGATATAGTCCTTATGCTGATATAGTTTTCTCCAGCCATGCTCTGCTGTAGGTATAGGTATAGAATTGGATTAACTAGCATTTTTGTTTTGCTAAGGAGTATAATGAAGAGAGGGACAAGGAGTCAAAACGTGCAAGAGAGTGATCAAGACTGCTCTACAGTATTTAAGCCAGCTATGGATAGCATTGAAAGGAATAAATACAAAGAAACAAACAAAAACAGGTGACTATAGGTCCAAGTACAATCAGGGTACTTAGAGGAAATGAGCTAGAGATACAAGTACTATTATCAGACAATGGAATATATAGAGTTGTGTTCAAAGTGAATATCTAACACTTTATATAATCCATATTTTTGCTTTATCAAAATTATTCAAAGGCACTGGCAGGTGTGGTTCACTGGTTGAGTGTCATCCCATGCACCAAAAGATTGCTAGTTCAATTCTTGGTTAGGGCACATATCCAGGTTTCTGTCTTAATCCCAAGTAGTCAGAAGGCACTGCCGATCTGTTACACTCCCTCATCAATGTTTCTCTCTCTCCCCCTCTCCCTTCCTCTTTCTCTAAAATCAATAAAAAACATTAAAAATTTTTGTTTTCTAAGATTAGCAAATTTTTCATATATTTTAGTATAAAAGTATTTTCTTACCTCTGATGAGGAAGGTTGACTTGGATTGAGGGACAAATTCACCAATGTCTGAATGGGGTAATAATCATCAGTTGGAATTTTGTGGGGTTTTTTTTACCTTTCTTCATTCAAGTAGTATAAATGTTGTAACAGATTTTTGACTTGTTTAAGATAATATTCCATTCATTTCTGGTCTCTGATTAATTCAAAAAGTGAAAAAAACAACAACACAGACACATATATAAAAGACTTTTAAAATGGAGTAAAAATGGCAACTTAGGTATGTATACAATCTTATTATAATAATTCAAATAGATATATTACTAATAAATAGGACTGATAATTATAATGGAATGAACATACATCCTATACAATTAAGTAGCGTGGAAAATTATAATAGAGTTGTAACCAGGACACATTTTAAACAATTCATCTTCTCTTGGTCAAAAATTAAGATAAAATACATATAGTATTTTCTATAAAGTATAAGTATATTTTTAGAGAAGACTCAGATACATCTTACAGTAACTTCCTTATTAGATAAGAATTAATGATAATAATCTATAATTATTACAGTACAGTAACTGGTATGCAAATTGGGAGGCCAGAATTTTTAACTCCTGTGGATACATTAAACACTTGATATTTTAATTTAAAAGAAAATTTTAATTAAGGAAACTCAGCACAGATCAATCAAGCCTGCTTTACTATTGTCCTAAGGTAAACTGCCCCACTATACTATAGCAAAGAAGCCATACTTTGAATTATAACTGTCTTTACCATTCCTGATTGGATCAATACTAAGACCAAATCCTGGTTGGCCATAGACAAATAAAATGGCCTGGCATGAGATGAGCCTTTAGGAATTAGAATTGAGAGAACTCAGGATTAAAGTGTGTAGTTAGTAGACACTGAATCAAAATGGAAGGAAGGGCCGAAACCGGTTTGGCTCAGTGGATAGAGCGTTGGCCTGGGAACAGAAAGGTCCCGGGTTCGATTCTGATCAAGGGCATGTACCTTGGTTGCGGGCACATCTCCAGTAGGGGGTGTGCAAGAGGCAGCTAATTGATGATTCTCTCTCATCGATGTTTCTAACTCTATCCCTCTCTCTTCCTCTCTGTAAAAAATCGATAAAATATATTAAAAAAAAATGGAAGGAAGGAAGGGAGTGGAGGGGAAGTCATGAAGTAGTAGCATAGCCAAGGGGTAAGCCCATGTTATGAGAAAGCTACAATTACTTGTAAACAAAGATAGAAAAGAGATAAAGAGTAGACAGAATGACTAACTGGCTGTGAGAAGGTAACTGATAAGATACTTAAGTAATTCATGTTTATAGCTGAGCATTAGAAAGAAGAGTCAAATTTTTTCCTGTTGAGGTCTCTAGCCTTACATCTATTCCCAGTTTGGCTATAATCAATTTTACTACTGCTCTATGTTGATTTTTACAATAATCTCTTCATTGCTTGAAGTAACTTAAGTCTTCATGCTTAGAATTCGTAGTTGATCCTAACCAAATCACATCTCACTTACTAACTCCTACCACATTATCTTTGGTATTTTCAAATTCCTTACCTATTAATTAGCTAATTAACAAAACAATGACAATTCAAACAAAAGAAGATTGATAGCTGGATAGTCAAGTATTTAGGGCTATAGAGTTCCAATCTCTCATTTACTGTATAATTTTGCTTTATAACCACTCTCTGCCAGGAATGAAATGTTGGCTTTATCTCGTATACTAAATCTCAGAAACCCCTCCCCCCTCTGACAGCTGTCAGTCTGTTCTTTATGAGTCTGTTTCTATTTTGTTTATTCATTAGATTTCACATATAAGTGAAATCATACATTACTTGTCTTTTCCTGAATGGTCTATTTCTCTTAGCATATTGCTTTCGGGGTCCATCCATTCTGTCACAAATGGTAAGATTGACTTCTTTTGTTACAGTCAAGTAGTATTCCATTGTGCAAATATACAAAGCTCTTTTATCCACTCATCTACTGATGGACAGTGGGGCTGCTTCTAAGTTTTAGTTATTGTAAATAACACTACAATGAATATAGAGGTGCATATATTCTTTCCAATTAGTGTTTCAGGTTTCTTCAGATATATTCTCAGTAGTGAAATCACTGGGTCAGAAGGCAGTTCTATTTTTAATTTATTGAAATAACTATGTTTTCCACAGTGGCTGCACCAATCTTCCTTCTCAGTAACAGTGCATGATGGTTCGCTTTTCTTTACATCCTCTCAAACACTTGTTTGATGATTTGTTGATGATAGCCTCCCTGATAGGTGTGAGGTGATATCTCATTGTAGTTTTAATTCTAATTTTTCTGATGATTAATGACATTGAACATCTTTTCATATGTCTATTGTCCATCTGTACATCCTCTTTGGAGAAATGTCTATTCAGGTCTTTGGCCCATTTAAAAAATATATTTTTATTGATTTCAGAGATGGAGAGGAGACAGAAAAATCAACGAGAATCATTGATTAGCTACCTCCAGAAATATCAATGAGAGAGAATCATTGATCAGCTACCTTCTGCACACCTATTACTGGGGATCAAACATGCATTCTGGGCATGTGTCCTGACCAGGAATCGAACCATCACCTCCCGGTTCATAGGTTGACATTCAACCACTGAGCCACACCAATTGGGCCCTTTACCCATTTTTTAATTGGACTGATTGATTTTTTGGTGTTGAGTTTTAGAAGTTCTTTATAAATTTTGGATATTAACCCCTTATCAGATGTATCAATGGTGAATATTTTCTCCCACTTGATAGGTTGTCTTTTTGTTTTGTTGATGGTTTCCTTTGTTGTGCAAAAACTTTTTAGTTTGATGCAGTTCCATTTATTTTTTGTTTCCTTTGCCAAAGGATATATATCAGAAAAAATATTGCTATGAAAAATGTCTGTTTTACAGCCTGTTTTCTTATAGAATTTTTATTTTGACTCTAACATTTAAGTTTTTAATGCATTTGGAGTTTATTTTTGTGTATAGTGTAAGAAAGTGGTTTAGTTTCATCTTTTTGTATCAGTCCGATTTTCCCAACACAATTTATTGAATAGATTATCTTTACCTCATTGTAAGTTTTTGCCTCCTTTGTCAAATATTAATTGACCATAAAGGTGTGTTTATTTCTAGGCTCTCTATTCTGTTTCATTGATCTACATACTTTATCTGTAGATTCTATTACATTTTGAAAATGAAATGTATTTTAATAAACACTGCCTTTATAATTATTGTGTACACTTTTTTTGGGGGGGGGGGAAATCTTGTGTGTTTTTCTGCCAGTACTATGCTTGTAGTATAGTTTGATATCAAGTAATGTGATTCCTCCAACTTTGTTGTTCTTTCTCAAGATTGCTATGGTTATTCAGTCTTTTGTAGTTCCATATAAATTTTTGGAATATTCTAGTTTTATGAAATACACCATTGGTATCTTGATAGAAATTTCATTGAATCTATATATTGCTTTGGATAGGAAAATGGACAGACATCTTCCTATCCATGAACATTGTATATGATTCCACTTAATTGTATCTTCAACTTTTCTTCAGTGCTTTATAATTTTGAGTACAGATTTTTTTTTTATAACCTTAATTTATTCCTAGGTATTTCTTTTAATGGAATTGTAAATGGGATTGTTTTAAGTTTTCCCTTGTGATAGTTCATTATTGGTGTATAAAAATGCAAGTGATTTCTGGATATTTATTTTATATTTTATATTTACTTCACTGAATTATCAGTTCTAGTAGTTTTTTAGTGGAATCTTCAGGGAAGCTTAAGAATTTCTGATACTCTGGTGATTTTTATTTCCTGTTTGATTAGAGTATTCAAAAGAGATGCTCCATGAACTTTAGAAAATCCTAAATAAATACTAAAATTGGAAACCTGAAATGGGCTATATTTAAATATACCAATACAGTGGAATCTCACACAAAATAATTAAATGGACTGGGAGCCAAAGAAGCAGATTTCTAGTTCTGTATTATCTATAAAACCATTCATTCATGTTTCATTCTTTGAGTAAAGATATATATTTTTAATCTTCCAAATGTGTCAAGTATGAATGAAGCCAGTCAGCAAGCCACCAAAAGTGAAATAATTTAAAATGCTACTGGGAAAGAAGGAGAAGTGATATTGAGATAACTTATCATAGACTTAATGTGTATAATTTCATTTCATTCTCACAAACAGCTCATTTTGAAATGAGGAAACAAAATCTCAGCAAAGTTTGAGCGGCTTACCCAGGGATACCAAGGATAGATAAGGCCTGAATTCAAACTCTGGTTTATAATCCTAGTCATTACATCCATTGTATGAATTAAGTACAATGCTTAAGTACACTGGACATTTTTGTAAAATTATTTAAATCATTCAGTAAACTAATTAGGACTCGTGGACATAGAACAAATTATATATGGGATTTTTCACTATACAAAAAATTTGAAATACATTAATAATGAAATTATTAATATTCATTGAAGTCGTTAGTATAATCGTTAATGGGCTGTTCCAACAGAATAGGAAACATTGCCTGGCTCAGTGGTTGAGCCTTGAAATCATGGTTGGATTATGGACCAGGGCACATGCTCCGGTGGTGGGCTCCATCCCCAGTGGGGGGCATGCAGGGGGCAGCCCATCAATGATTCTAATCATTGGTGTTTCTTTCTCCTCTTTCCTCTTTGAAATCAACAAGTACATATGGATATAGATATACCTGCATAGGTATATGTAGATAGAAAACCACTTTGAAGATCAAGGTCGATAAGTTACTGAAATATTAAAAAAAAAAAAAAAAGAGCAAATTTTCCCGAAACACAAAAAAATAGGTTTTTTTTTTTGTAAAATAAGCTTATTTTACATTTTTAAAAATGAAATAGATCACAAGAGGAGACAAGTGTAAATATTCAAGCAGCACCTTGGCTTTTTCACAACCTCTTCCAGAAAACCAAGAGGTAAGAGGCAACAGAAGCCGAACCTTGAGAAGATCCCGTTTTCTCCAGGGCACCGGCGCCCCGGCTGCCCGCCGCCCGGCGGCTCCCGCGGTCGGTTACCGCGCCCGCCGCGCCCTCTCGCCCGGAGGTCTCGCGGCGGGAAGCGGGCTGCGGACGGGGCACCCACAGGACACGCTCAGCTCCCTCAGAGGCCCCTGTGGGGAGGGGGTGACAGTGAGAAAGCGGGTACTCCTAGTTCCCACACCTCGGCAGGGCTCTCCCTTCTCCTTCCCTCAACCTCTGCCGCCAACTCCGTCGGGAAACCCGGAACCTCCGGGTCACCCCGCCGCCTGGCCTGCGACAAACGCCCTCCAGCGTCCGGCTTCCACTCCGAGGTCCCTTTCTGAGTGCCTCTCGGGTCTTCCCGGCTTTTCTACCTCCCAACTCCGCCTCCCAGGAGCCGAGAGGAGACGCTGAGCCAATCCGCGCTCGCGTCTCGCGGCTGCCACGCCCACCGCCACGCACTACGCCCCTCACGCTCCGCCTCCGCCTTCCAGCTCTCGCCTTCCACCGGGCGTGTCACCGAAACTGCCGGCGGAGGAGGCGCGCATGCGCGCCGAGGGGCGGAGCCGCTGGGCGAAGAACCGGAAACTCGGAGACAAAGTTCCGAGCTCCGCCCCTCGCGTCGCTGCCCCGCCGTCTGGCCCCCGCGGACCCGCGACCCGCCACCCGCTTCCGACCCGTCTGCTCGGCTCTCGCGTGCACCATGTCTGGTTCCTCCAGCGTCACCGCGATGAAGAAAGTGGTTCAGCAGCTCCGGCTGGAGGCTGGGCTCAACCGCGTGAAGGTGAGAGGGGGGGCGGGCGGCCGAGGGGGAGGGGAAGGCGGACGTGGCGGTGGGAGCGCCGCCGAGCTGGCCGGGGCGGGCGGGCGGGCGGAGGGCGCGCTCCGGGCGCCGTAGGCGACGCGGGCGTTGCGAGCGTTAGAGACTTGGCGGCGGGAGTGGGCGCTGGGGTTGGGGGTCAGGTTAGCGCGCCCTTCCGCCCTCAGAGGTTCCGCATTCTGACCCTCCCTCTTCCCTCTCCCCCCCGCACCTCCTCTCCCCCCCCCCACACCTCCTCTCCCCCCTCCCCCCCCTTCCCCCCCCTCCCCCCCCCTTCCCCCCCCTCCGGGCGCGGTGACTCCGCCGGCCGGGCCCGCGGCGGCTGCTCCGCGCGGCCCTCTCCCAGCCCCTCCGCCTCTCGGCGTCCCGCGGGGCTTTATCCGATTGTTGATTGAGAACCGGTGTCTTTTTTGTTTTGGTGTCAGACCTTTCCAAACCCACTCCCTTTAGCAGAAAGATTCTTAACCTCCAGCTCCTCTCGTCCACCCAACTTGAGGACGAATTCTTACAGAACTTGAACTGAATCTTTCCAAACATCAGGACTTTTTTTTTTTTTTAACGCCGCGGGACAACATTGTTAAAAATCGGGACGTCTGGTCACCTTATAGTGACTATGTGTTTGTTTTTGAATGGTCCGCGAGGTGTAGGGTTACCACCGGTGCCCTGTATAACCAGTCTCGCGCCAGGCGAGCATTTCGTACCTATTTGGCACAGTTGGCGGCGATCTGACCTCGGGGCTATCTCCAGGTCCGCGTGCCTGTGGAAAGTGATTAGGGTGGACCAGTCTTAACCTATTTTGGCATTTGTTTAGCATTGACCTTGTCTTCGGCTGTTTTATTTTGGGGCGGGGGGGGGGCGGACGGGGGGACGGAGGGGGCTTTTGTATGTGTTGCTGTGTTACAACCTGACATTCAAGTGCTGTTCCAAGTTCCTCCAGATTTATAAAATCCCAAATGGATTGGCTTCTTTCTGGTACAGATCATCTTACATGTGAAAGATGTCATTAAAAGAAGAAACGAGAGTAGAATAAGGAATCATTCACTTTGTCCAAAGCAGCAGCCATTTTCCAAGACGATTTGATTCTGTATTCATCGGGGTAGTCTCTGCTTCTCCCCGAGATGTTTTGTGGAGTAAGATGGTCTCCCACCTGCCTTTTTCCTTAAGTAGAAATGTCAGGAACCTAACTTAGTTGTGTTCGCCTCAGGAGGGAAGGGGAATTCCCATCAGTCTTGGTGTGGGATTCCCCTCCCTGACCTGTAAGTGCTGTGGACTCCGTTGCTGTTTGGAATTCATTTCTCTAATCTCCAGATTCTTAACCTTACCCAGTGGTATTTGTGGACAGTCAGGTGTGCCCTTATTATATACATTGGAATGTCCCGGGAAAGAAAAAAAAAATACCGATTGAAAGTTGTGTTAAGTACTGGTACTTAAGCCCGAGTCTCCAAAGAAAATGATATGAAGTCCTCAGACTAAAGAACTCCGAGGGCTTTATTATGAAAAACTTGGCTGCTTCAATAACTCCCTAGCATAATGCCTGCATCCTATACTTAATTCTTTAGGAGGCTTCTGGTCCAAATCATTAAAGCCACCTCCAAGTGACTTGGTTTTAGACTTCTCAATCTGTCTGATGGTAGGGCTAGACAGAAGGAGGGTGGCATTCCAACCTTGAGACTTTATTTTTTGGGTGGGGGTTATTTATTTATTTATTTTTATTAAATTTTTATTAAATCTGCCAACCTTGAGACTTTAAATGAGCTTTTCTTTAGATGCAAAATGTGGTCAGTTTGATTTCATTTTGTGCATCTTTTTTATCCATGCCTATGCTAGATGCTTTCTTTTTACCAGTGATGTTTTTAAGCTAGCACAAGTGTACTGTTTAAACCTTTGTTTGAATACAGTTGATAGAAATTGTCACAAATGCTTGAGAAATTCTCCCGTATGTAGGGTGACCATACACTTGATTACCAACCCAGGACGGACGCCTTTGGGAGTGAAAGAGGGCACTAGTAATTATGCCAGGATTATGGGATTTCAGTCTCCTGGTTGGTGATTATTACAGTGCCACAGCGGCTAGCAGCTTGTGAGTTCTTTAGAACTTTTGCCTGTTTTCCCCACTCCTTGGAATTCTCACTGATCAGTTTCACACTGGTGATCATTTGGCTGGATTTGGGGGCATTGAATTCTGTTTAAATGTCACCTCCTCAGAGACACCTTTCTGAATGTCACAATCTAACAAACCGCTCTTTTTTCCTTTAGAGCACCTTATCTCTCTTTTTCTCTGAACTGTCAGCTCCATAACTGCAGGGACCTGGTTGCTTTTATGTATTCTCAATGTCTAGAAGTATATTTGGCACATATTGGTGCTTGAGAAGTTTGTGAAAGGGAGTTAAGTTGGAGCTTATTACACCTTAGGCAAAAAATTAACAGATACTTTACTGTATTTTTGTTGCTAGTAGATAAGAATGAAGTCAAGTTACAAGACTGAAAAATAATAACACTAGCTCTATACCTACCTCCTTTTTGGAGGGAGCAGAGTGGTCATTTATCAAAGTACTTGGTACTAGGTATTTTAAAACTACTATTTTACACAGTTGCTAAATAAACCTATGGAACTCATTACCCTAGCCAGTGTTTCCCAAAGTGTGGTACGCGTACCCCCAGGGGTACGGGAAGAGTTTGGTGGGGGTACACGTTGCACCGGAGTTTGGTGGGGATATGCACTGCACTGTGTTTAGCTGCGCCTAATTCTATGTTCTCATGAGTATGAGGGGTAATCAGCCTTACGAAAATTATAGAAGGCGTACACATATGTCAAAAGTTTGGGAAACACTGCGCCTAGACTGTTGTATAAGCCAAACATACAAATAGATTCTGAGAGTGGAGTTTAGATTCGGCTCAGGATGATGGGTCATTTTTTTCAAGTTAATGTACTTTTATTGTACTTTTATCAGGTAGAACAATATTCTGCAGGCTTTCTTGGTATAGAGAGCATCTGTGATGTTCCTGACCTCCTTTTCAAAGGCCAAATACCCCAGCTGGACTGGACTTGGACTATTGCACTCACCCTCCTTGAGAATAGTTAAAACTGAGAATAAATTATTATCTTTCACATCTTCCTAAACTTCAGTTCAAGACTTAGGATATTTTATTCATTTGGGGCATATTTTATTCATTTGGGACATCTTTTAGTGATCCATATTCTACACCTGAACCATTCAGTTCATTGTTTTTGTATCCTGCATCACCTTACCAAATTATGTACAGATAGTAGATGTTTAAATGATATATCTTATAAACAAAGTAAAATGTAAAGCCATACAATTTCTTTAAGTCCTATTTGGGTGGCATTGTATATACATGAAAATTACTAAATCATATTTAAGGCCCTAGCCAGTTTGGCTCAGTGGATAGAGCATGGGGTCTGTGGACTGAAGGGTTCCAGGTTTGATTATGGTCAAGGCATGTACCTCTTTTGAAGGCTTGTTCCCGGGCCTGGATGGGGCACATGCGGAAGGTAACCAGTTGATGTTTCTCTCTCACATATTTATCTCTCTCTCCCCCTCCTTTCCACTTTCTCTAAAAATCAGTGGCTATTTTTCCTTGGGTGAGGATTAACAACATCAGTAAAATGACTTTTAAGGCAAAGACAGTTTCTTACAGGAAAGCTGCTCAGTGAAGTTGTTAAAATTAAGTGAAGTTTGCTATCAGCTTTTCAGTCACCTGACACTGAGCAGAAAGCTGTCACTGTCCAGTTTTGTAACATTAAACAGCTGGTGATACGTGATACCAAAACAATGAATTGAATGGCTTAGATTTAGAGCTTTATGTTCATTTACAGTACTAGCTTTTCCCAGTAATACTGCTTTCAAGGTGAAGTAATAGTTTGCTAGGATTTCAATGCTTTTTGTGTAAACTCTTACCATGTGTACTGCTTTGGGTACTGCTTTTTAATAAAAAGATACTGCTTCTCCTCAAGGTTGCACTTGAGTAACCTGCTTATTAATAAACTAGCAAGATGTGCTATACTTTACAGATAAATGTAATTGTTTGTACTAAATCATTTGATAATGCTTCTAATAAGCAAAATGAAACAAACTAGTCTTATTTACTTCCCTGCTTTAAGAGCTCAGTATGTGACTGATAACCTCCAATTATTATATATCTTTTGAGTTAAGAGAAATGTTTATTGCAGGTATTTTGAAAGATTTGAGCAAACTTTTTCTGAAAACATTCTTAATCACCTCCCACTTTGTACCTACAGGTTTCCCAGGCAGCTGCAGATTTGAAACAATTCTGTCTGCAGAATGCTCAACATGACCCCCTGTTGACTGGAGTATCTTCAAGTACCAATCCCTTCAGACCCCAGAAAGTTTGTTCCTTTTTGTAGTAAAATGAATTTTGAAGGTAAGTTTCCTTAGAGTAAAACAACAAAACGGCACAAAGCTGGAATAACCAGTTAAGTCTTTTTGTTTGCTTCTATGCACTTAAGTTTGGCATTGCAAGTTTCTAGTCTTTTTTTGTGAGGAAAGTGAGGGCTGGTGAAATTTCCTGATTTAGTAATCATGAAGACTAATTGTTTCTATTTTACCCATAAAAAAGGGTTAAATAGATGATTTAATAACCATACAAGAGGATATAGGAGAGTTACTAGAAAAATCACAATATCATGCCCTGTTACTTTTTATAGCATTGGCCTAAGGGTGTCCCAAACACTCGTCTAATTTTTGGGTATGTAGCAAATATTTAGTTTTTAAACTTTATACAATGTTTATGAGGATGACTTTTAAAGTACTACCAATTGATTTGGATTGATTCTGGTGCTTTTACTCTAAAGGAATTCAGTTATAGGGCAACATAGCAAAGAATTGGGAGTTGTGAATGCAAGAGAAAATGAGACAATTGAATAAGCTAATTTTAATCTGTGCCATCCAGACCAAATGTCAATGTGTGCAAAACCATGTTAGTCAAAAAGAGATGTGACCAAAATATGTTGTAGTTACATTTTAAATATAACCCAAGGGTGCTAGTGCTTTAGTCAGGGTGTGTACTCACTAGTATTGACCCATGAGGAGCAACCTTAAATTAATAGTGCTTACACACACACCCACACACACACACACACACACACCCACACACACACCCCTCTGTATGGCACACGCCCTTTACAAACAGTCTAACTCCTCAAAGTCCAGGAAGCTGCTTCCCAAAATACCATGTTACATAGCTGCTTCCCAAAATACCATGTTACATTAGTTGTGCCCTCCCTAATTAAGCTTTGTAGATTTGGGAGTATCCAGGAAGTCTGTATAAGTATAACATGTTTCCAGTAAATACAGTGATTGGTTAAGATTTTTGGAAACACCAGGGTTGGGGGGAGATGTTAAGGGGGGAAGCTTGGGAAAAGCACCTTTGAGTGATAGTTTTCCATACTGAAGTAAGTCTTTTCACCAGTCTAGCTCCTATTAAGCAGTACCTTGCTTCTCTGACAATATTAATTCTTCATGGCAGTTTTTGCAATTACATATTTTTATGGTTTATTTAAAGATCCTTTTTAAATTTCTGTTCTTATTCACTTACAACAAGTCTTATTTTCATATGTTATAAAGTACTGTTAAGAAGGCTGGCTCTTAACTGGCAGTTATTAGCCTACATTTCACAGGAATCTACAGACAAGTGTTTAAATATGGCTGGGATAATAACCCAGGTTTCAAAGTAAGATAATGGTTATTAATCCTGGCAGTATAATGAAACAGCCTTGTGGGTATTATGATTTGAAACATTTTTGGCTAGGAAAAATGATGTGAAAACATTTCTTGTCAAATTTGATATACCTATAAATCACTTGGTTAAAATGAAAATTCTATTTTAGTGGGTCTGGAGTGAGGTCCTACAATCTCTGTGTTTTTTTTTTTTTACAAGCTTCTGGGTTATACTAGTACTACTGCCAGTGGTCTTAGGCCCACAGTAAGTGACATGAGTACAGAGAATTCACAATTGAAACTTTATACTCATAGCATTTAAAAAAACAACAGCATAGGTAATTTATCAACAGTTGGTCTAAGGAATATACAAATTACCATGGTCAATATACCTAGAAATAATCATTGCTAAGATAGTTCCTTTTAAGAGAGAAAAAAATTATTTGTCCCAATACACCAGAGGTAGTGGGTTCAATCCCCAGCCAGGACATACACAAGAATAAAAACGAATGCATAAATAAATGGGACAACAAATTAATGTTTCTCTTCCCCCTTCTTCCTTTCCAAAATCAATCAAAAAATGAGGATCATGGTATGTAGTTTAAAAATATAAATTTTATTTTATTAAATATTTGTAAATGAGATGTTCAATGGTTGTACTGTAACTTAATTATACCTCATTGAATATTGAAGTTTCCAAATTTGAAGCTACACTGAAGAGAATATGTTGGTATCTACATATTTATATATACTTTACCTCTCTATTTAAGATACATTTCTAGAAGTAAAATTATTCAATAAGGAATGACATTTAAATTTTATTAACTAGTCTTTTTATTAAAATTTGTCATTTCACCTGGAACTTGATCTGAGCCCTTGCCAGCCTATTTGCTATTTTCTGACTATCTTCTTTTTGTAATTAGCACTGATTCAAATGTTAAGTTAAACACTTTGTTTTTTCACCATTGATTGTTTATGCCTTTTGAACATTTTCGCCATGGAATATATCAGATTTCCAAGTATAAAGGTGAACTTGTGTCTGTCCTGAATTAGTTATTTAAAAAAATATATATATATTTTTCCTACCATTCCACATAGATAACATCTTTATTTTTACTACATATAGTTCTTGGTTTATCTCCATGTAGATTAGTCATTTAATTGGCTGTCTAGTATCCATTGTGTATGAACCTTATGCAGTCCTCTTGAGTTTAGGCTTTTTCCAGTTCTTTGCTCTTAAAATATCACTATAAATATATCCATGTACATGTTTCTCTTTGTATATAGGTTTAGTTGGGTAAAGAGAAGTGTGGTTGCAACTTCTGCGTTGGTAGATATTACCAAACTGCTCTCCCCAAAACTTGTTCATTTTAAATTAAGATAGAGTGTATTTTAGCAATGATCTTAGCAAGTTAAAATTTTTTTAAAAATATATTTTATTGATTTTTCTTTTCTTTTTTTTTTTTTTACAGAGAGGAAGGGAAAGAGATAGAGAGCTAGAAACGTTGATGAGAGAGAATCATCGATTAGCTGCCTCTTGCACACCCCCCACCGGGGATGTGCCCGCAACCAATGTACATGCCTTTGACCGGAATCAAACCCGGGACCCTTCAGTCCACAGACCGACGCTTTACCACTGAGCAAACCGGTTTTGGCAGCAAGTTAATTTTTAAGCCTGATTATAAACTGTAAATGATGTATACTTCAGAGTGTTTTTGAAAATTAAGAGAAAGTTACATTTTACACCAGGCATTTCCTGTCCTGTTTTTCTCCAGAAACCCTGTGATGTCTTTTTTTTTTTTTTTTTAAACTAGGCTTAGTTTAATTGAAAGTACTTTATAAACTAACATTCAGATGAATGCTATAAAAATAATACAAAATG